AGGGCAGCTGAGTCCGTCCAACTTGACGGCTGTGGGCTCCCACAGAAGCTGTCACCAGTGAAGGCGGGAACAGTAAGAAGTTGCTCTACTGCGGGAACAAGAAATGCAGTCACAGCACGGGACTCCCACCCACTCTGAGGCCGCCATGCCAGGGCCCCTCCGTCCTGTCTCGCTGGGTGTCAGGGACTGTGCGGGAACCGCGCTTGTGTACACTGTGGCCGCACACACCCTCGGAGGGAGTGAGACGTAACGTGACCTAGAACGTCTCGGAACACCGACCCTCTGTCCCTTACTTGGTCGGGTGAGGGAAGGGCAGGGGCTGAAGAGGGCCGGCCTGAAGCCCAGCACAGGGCCCGGCTCGGCCCCCACCAGGGTGCCCGGCCGTCTGCGGGGGACGCCGCTGCCTCACATGCTGCGGGCACTCAGCGTGGCACATGCTGGGTGGGGCTGTGTGGGCTTCAGTGACAGGACGCAAGCAGCCAGGCTCCTGTCACCTGCAGCCGCTTGGGGACACTATCGTCTGTGCCACGAACGCTGAGGGAAGGTCGGCGTCAGTCACACATGACCGATGGGAGCCCATGATTTACTTGTCCGACATGAGGTGCAGAGGCAGGCCTGTGCCTCACCTCCGAAAGGCAGGGCGGGCGGGCGTCCGCGACACAGTGTATCTGACAGTCTATCCATTTCCGCAGTAAAAGAACTGATAGTCAACTACGTCCAACAATGAGAACGTGCCTCCCCAGTGCCTACGAACATCTAAGCCGCCGGCTGCAGCCAGCCTGGGAGAATGAGCGTCGGACCGCCGGCTTGTCTAACGGCGCGTCCTCTGCACCCACCACGCCAGCTCCCCTCGTCCAGGCCAGGCCCAGGGCAGGGACACAGGCAAGGAAAGCAGCCTCCGTGCCTGCTCTCGCCTGTGCCCGACAGGAGCGCGAGGACGAGGCGCCAGGACGATCCCTGAAGCCCTTACCCAGGAGAGGCAAGCACAGGCCTGGGCCCTGGGCCTGGTTTCAACTTGCAGGCCCCTCTCCGTAACTCCAGGGCACAGAGTCGAACGTGAACAGGAAAGGGGAGAACTCTTGTCCAGGACGAGCCTTCTCTCATCTCAACAGGCTCCTGGGGTTCGTGAGGAGCTCTGCTGCCTCCTGGGGGTGCCAGGTGTCAGAAGGCCCAGCTTCCCTGGCGAGGAAGCCTGGTCCCGCCCACGGGGCAGCCAGTCACCACTTCAAGCAGCGGGAACCAGAGGGCCGGGCAGCGAGCTCGGGCCCCCGGGGGGCACCTCGGCAGCTGGAGGACGCCCACACGTGGAAGGCCTGGCCTCATCTATGGGAGGAAGCAACGGAGGCTGGCGGAGAGCCAGACGCCCGCCCGCCGGGGCCATGCCAGGGACAGCGCCACCTTCCAACACAACAGGCTGAGGGTCTGCCCGGCCGGCCGCACTGCCCTGTCCGAAGGCTCAGGGCTCTCTCCTCACAATTCTAGGAACGGGGCTCCTGTCTACCGCGAGAAAAGGAGAGCGACGGGGAGCGAGAGACGACGTGAAACCTGAACTGAGCTCCTGGGGCCTGTGTGCGTCCTGAATCCCAAACGTGCCCCGGACGAGCACGGGGCGTATCTGCCCGAGGCTGGCTCTGTTCTCCTCGATGGCAAGACCAGTCTGCGATGCCGTCTACGCGCCACACGACAGCGACGGTCACGCCTCACACTCTGCAAGCCCAGAGAACAGGCGCCACTCCACTTGATGCTCAACTATCGACGAATATGCCACCATCGAAAGGACCAGAGAGCCACAGACACAGAGCCACGCCCGAGCCTGGGTCCAGAAGCCACGGGAGTCGGAAGAGGTGTCCCAGCCTTGTCAGGACGCGTGCCCAGTGACCACGTCAGCTCAGCTGACGTCGCGTCAGACAGAGCAGCCTCCGTTCGCACAAGCACAGAGGTTTCGGGAATTCAGCGCATCGGCCCTACAGCACGACCGCATGCGTTCTACAGATGCCGCGTGCGCTCAAGCAGGCAGAGAGCGCTTCTTCCCACTCCGTGGCTCCGACGCATCCAGAGCGCCTCCGCCTCGCCCACGGCGTGGAGGCGCCACCGGAGCCGGTCGAGCCGGGCCCGGCTCAGGAAAGGGCCTTCGTGGGAATGTGCTTTACCTCGTTCTCAGTTAAGGAGGCCGAGGGAGACGAGCTCTTGCTAAAGGCGAGTGCGGAGGGCGTGGCGGCCGACGTCCGGTTCCGCTTCTTCAGCGGTTTGCACGCGTCAGACAGGGGTTTTGTTGCTGCAAAGTAATGTGAGCCCATGAAGCAAAGCCTGAACGTGAGCCCCAGGCCCTCTCCTGCGTTAGAAGGGCCTCTGATAACAGATGGCTGCCGCACCAGGGCTTACGTGTCTCGGGGGAACATCTGCAGGTAGAGGGGGGCAGACACGCACGGTGAGCTGACTGTCCCCGGGCCGTCCCCGGGCCCTGGCTCCGCACAGCGTGGCCCCCAGCCCTCCACATCCTGCACCAAACCCCCCTGCGCCCACAGCGGTCAGCCTCTCTCAGACACTACGGTGAAACACTACAGCCCCACTACCCGCTTCAATGCAGCCACCTCTCTCCATCGTCCAGCGCCCACGCTGTGCCCACCTGCTCACGCAGGTCTTCTTGGGGCTGACGGGCTTACAGCCAGGACGGCACCTCAGAGAGCGAGGGCGCCAGCGCCATCTGCAACCTGCCCTACGACTTCTCCTGAACCTTGTGTTCCTTCCGGCTGAGAGCTGGAGCTGGAAGCTTCCTGTCGTAAATGGCCAGACAAGCTCTGGCCGGTGTGGCTCAAAGGTTAGAGCGTCGGCCTGTGGACTAATGGGTCTCGGGCTCAATTCTGGTCAAGGGCACGTACCGGGGCTGCAGGCTCCTCCCCAGTGCCAGGCCAGGGCGTGTACCAGAGGCAACCAATCGATGTCTCTCTCTCCCCACCTCCCTGCCACTCTCTCTAAAAACCAATGGAAAAATATCCAAATAAAAAATAAACGAAAATATTAAAAAAAAATAAAAAAATAAAAAAAAAAATAAACGAACAGACAAGCCTGGCCGTGTAGCTCAGTTGGCTGCAGACTCCATCCCGTCAGGGCACGTACAAGAATCACCCAGTGAACGCATGAACAGGTGGAACAAATCGCTCTCTCTCTTCTTCAAATCAATCAATCAATCAAAAATTTATTTAAATAAATAAACCACCAGACAGACCACCGGAGAAGCCGTCAGGAGGACGAATGTGTCTGCCTGGCACTGTCCTGACAGTTACTGTTCACAAACGTTTCAGCTCGTTTCGAGGCCCGATGCCGGGGCACACGCTGGAGTGGGGCGCTGACAGCGGCCAGCACGGAGGGAGTCCGCTGGCCTGGTGGGGCCCCTGCTCCAGCAGCTTTATTCTGAGAACAACACAGCCACGCAGAGGCCACAGGAGTGGCTCCCAGAGACCTCGCTGAGTCGCTGAACACTGACCCCTCGGAGGGACTGCTCTGCACGGGCACGGAGCCGTCCTGGCACGGGTCCAGCCTGACTGTGGCTCTGACCCCCAAAGGCTCCGGTCCCTCCCCAGCCCAGCCCCCCGCCACCCACCAGGACAGAGGCAGGCCTGTCTCCACCCACCCCCATCTCCCAGGCCCACCTTACCTGCCTGGCTCTTCAGGGAGGACAGGGCCTCTGTGGCCTTGCAGGATCCTGTGCGGGGTGTTTTGTCTGCAATGGTCTCCCTCTGTTATTGAAAACAAAACAAAAAGGAATAAAGGAAAGTATCTCCTACGTGGACCAGCGGAGGCTGCTGCAAGATGATGTGACCCAACTTCCTCCTGGGAAGCATCTGGCAGGTCGCCAGCAGCCCAGCCCCACGTTCGCACCCACAGGGGGCTCCGCCGGTGCCAGGGCGTGGGGAGTGGAAGGACCCTCTCCGGGCTGCCCAGCCCCTGAAGTGGCACCAGGGTGTCCATGCCAACCCCCCCACAGCTCGTTCTCTGGAGGATGTCACTCGCAGACAAGTGCCACACAAACCTCACGCTCACATACAAGCACATCTCATGGCCGAGCATGTGGCGCAGACCAAGCAGGCACTGTGAGCGTTCTGTCCAGCCCTCGGGAGGAGGCACGTCACTGAACCCCCGTGCGGGGCGCTGTGGCCAAGGCCTCCGGACCCCCCGCACTGCACCGCGCCCACCCGCCCAGCAGGGCAGACACCACCCTGCCTGTCACATGCGGTTTCCTGAGCGGCGCGTTCTAAGACGTGTCTACCCAGCCACTCAGTGCGAATTCTGAGACTTTAACGTCAGGGCCGTTTCCTGGTAAGTCACGTATACGAATACTTCGAAGCACCATGTCAGACAGGCTGCTGGCAGTGCCAGGGCACAGAGCGGTGCTTCTGCCTCTCGCTGCAGGAACCGCCCGGGGGGCCCGAGCACGGCAGGGCCACCCCCAGAGCTGCCAAGACGGCTTCATAGAAACGACGTGCAGCGGTGCCAACTGTGCTCACGTCAGCCATGTGTGCGGCAGTGACTTTCTGCTTGTGGACAGAGCAGAAGAAACGGGGCGACTTCCTGACGCCACCCACGGGCTGCTGCTCGCCGTCCCGCGATGAGCACCGCAGGTGGCACTGGCCACGCTTCCTGGGCCACGCAGACAGGCCGGCGCCCCTCCACAGGCAGCGGGCCTGGCGGGAGCGTGAGGGGCAGGCCTTGGCCTCCGCACTAGGCGGCGCAGCACCGAGGGGTCCGCACAGACACCCCGAGCTCCTGCTGCTCAGTGAGCTCACGAGCCGCTCAGGGCCTGTGCGGCCGGCACACCGTCGCTGAAGCCGACCCCGCATCCCCAGAGGCTGAGCTGTGACGGCACCGTCAGCGAGCCCCCAAGACGGGGCCACTTTCACCTGGACCCGGGGGCTCCACACCAAGTGCCGCTCAGAGGGTCGCGGGCTTGTCTCTGGCAGCTGCTATCGGGCTGGTGCTCCGGCCCCTGGCAGGTCAGAGCTGCTCTCGGCAGCGGCCTCCGCCCCCACAGCAGCCCACGGGGTGGGGAGGACAAGGTGCCGGGGGTCAGGGTCACACAGCACGGGGTCCAGTGCCAGGCAAACCTGGACATTACCTTCCGAAGACCCTGCCTGTCCGTCCTGAGTCTTTTCCGGGGCGCCTCAAGCTCCGCGTCCCCCGTGGGGTCCTGAGTCCGCTTCGGGGGGGTTCTTTTTCTCCCGTGTACGTTACCTAGGAACGGGGGCGGGAACTTACGTGGAAAAGGCGGCACAGCCCGGGGCTCAGTAATTGAGCACTGACCTGTGAACCGGGAGGTCACAGTTCAATTCCCAGTCAGCGCACAGGCCCGGATTACGGGCTTGATCCCCAGCAGGGGCATGCAGGAGATGGCCGATTCACGATTCTCTCTCCCTCTCCCTTCCTCCCTGAAATCCGTGAAAAGGTACCGAAAACCAAATAAAACAAAACCCGCGGCCCAGCGGCCCTGAGCACCACCGGGCACGGGGCGCAAACCAGCCGGGGCGGTTTCCTGCCGTCCGGCCCAGGGCCGAAGGTCACAGACCCAACCTCTGCGTTTGGTGACCTGCCGGGGACTGTGTTTCCGGTAACATCAAATCTGAAAAACCCTCATCTGATCCAGGGTTATGAGATTGGCATTCGCTACAATTACATTTTAACGAACGACAGCACTAAACTTAAGTATATGTGTGCGTGCACGTCAGCCTAACCACTGGACACAGACACCGGGGGTAAGGGCACGAGGGGGTGCAGGGGGGGATGGGAGCATGAGGACACAGATGTAATACCTTAATCAATAAAGAACTAAATAAAAACTTAAATATAACCCAGTATTTTTAATCCTTTACTTACTAACATTGAGACTAGTGGAATTTAGTTTGAACTTTAAAAACCCTACAACTTGCTGCGTTTTATCTATTTCCTTAAAGAAGCAGCTCCGTGTGCACTGCCAGTTCAGGGCTGCCTGCGCTCACACCGCGTCCGTGGGGGCTCCCAGGGCTCCCTCCCCCGACCTCGGGGCCCAGAGGAGAGGCCGGCCCCGGAGGGACACCGGTGTGGACCACAAACCCGGCCCTCCCCTCGCGTGGCCACGTCAGGCGTTCGGGGCTCATGCCTGGACTCGTCTGAGGCCCCTGGGAGCGCAGTGTCACCCTCGAGCCTGACTCCCGGTGGCACAGACCACTGTGC